TTGGATGCGCATTGTGCGGCTTTAATTTAGGTTAAAATTAAGCTACATAAAAAGTTTCATGGTTCAATCACCATTAGAAATATTATTAAAAAATGTTTTAAAACTAACGACTACAGTTTGATTACAACGACGGTGGTGCCAGTCAAAGCGCACAATCTGATAAGTTGCGCAAAACCACTTTTCAGCCAAGGGCTACAGACCGAGGGTGTTTTTATTTATTAATTTAAAAGCAAAAGGATTGTAATCTCTTATAAACGACATATAGTTTTAGTTATATTATGGATAAATTTGTCTTAAAACGAACATCGTTCGGTTAAATAGCATTTAGGTATAAACATAATTGCACCTTTGTGATTAGCCCTCGGTCTGTAACGTGCAAAATAAATTGGCAAATGCGCCACTTTTTCAGGGTGGCAGCACGGTCACGGGTGTCATGGCGCCGTTCAAATTTCGTAGCGTTGATGTGTAATTAATTTTAATAATTTAATTAGGTATCTGGTAACAAATACGTGTGGGTATAGACGATTTGTTATACAGTAAGTACAGTTGTATGCAGTAAAATTCTAAAGTCTACTATCACTTTAAACTCATGTATCTATATAACAGCCATCATATATAATATCATATTTAAGGAGTGCATGGCTGATTCGAAGACTTCACAGTCAATTCGCCCTACTACGCAATTCTGAAACTAATATAACCAGTTATATTATGTATGTATATTGTAATGCGTGAATAAACATGTTTGAATAGCTAGCTAGCGTGCGGCAGCCAGCGTGTGTTGCAGTCATGGCTGCAGATGAGCATTTGGACGGCATTTACAGAAAATTGCCGGCAATAATAGGTGAAAGAGAGTAGAGAAACAGTGCAAAACTTTGGTAGCAAATAGATTTCGTATTTATTTAGCATTATATTTTGTTGAAACGCTCCAAGTGCCTGTGAGTGTGAGTCTAGCGGCTATCCTCTACTACTACTACTACTACTACTATACTACTTAATTTTTTTAATAGCTATAGAATATTCTATTTCTAGATTTCTACAGATATAGACCTTTAAATATTTTACGTCAGATATTACCCAGGCAGAAATTTCAATAATATTTAAAGGAATATATAAGAATTCACCAACTTAAAGTTTTTATCAGGATTCCGACTGAGGACGAACAACTTCGAACAACAGGAATTTATTCGCAGATAAATTTGCCAATATTTTACATGTTTAATTTTGATATTCAGTATTTGTGAAAACATAACTTTCGCTGTAAAAAAATCCGTTTTTTGTTTTAGATTAGATACCAAGTACGGGCAAACAAACGTCTCTCGCAAATAGAGGGAGACAGTAGACCTTTCGGCAGTTTATCATTTCTCGATTCCATCATTAGTTTAACCATCGATATAGAATGAAGATTCATTCTACATCTATGGTTTAACAACGTTTAAAAAGAAGCTGTATAGTCATATAGCAATGATAAAACGTCGCGGACGGGGGTAATTAATTGTTTTTCTAACTTACATGCTCACCATCCTCTTACTTATGCAGGGCGTCTTAACCGTGACGCATATATAACCAGCACGCATATTTTCTTCTTTTTTTTCGTTTTCAAATTAAGTCCCGA